CCTATACTCCTAAAATGCTCATTGTTGTAAACCAACGTCAACACAATAAAAGTAATTTAAAAAATAAAACTAGATGCATTTTCTTATGAATCATTCTGCTGCTGGTTAGGACATAGAAGAATGTGAAAGACTCTACTGTTACTGAAATAAGAAGAAATCACTGGGTAAACAAACCAACAAGTTACACTTTCTTTAAAATCCATGAGAGACAATACGCAAAATGGCTCTCAGCAATCCCTGTCTCTTAATCTTCATGTCCTTGTAGTTCCTTCTTCCTGGGGCTGGTCTGTGTAACCAAAAGAATATGGTATATCATATTCAATATATGCCAGGCTCCCTGGAGCCATTGCAGAAGCAATGGTATATCACCTTTAAGGGGAGGTTTACTAAATACTACATAACTTCCATTTTGGTTGCTGTCTTGCAATATTCCTTTGTTGTGGGTCAGTCACTCTGGGGGAAGCCAGATGCCATGTTGTGAGCAGTCCAGTGAAGAGGCCCATAGGGAAAGGATTGAGACCTTTTGCTTAACATCCAGCAAGGAACTCGGGCTTTCTGCTAACAGCCACAGCCATAGTCAACCTTATAGATTACTGATTCCTACAGCCTTAGCAGAAAACTTGGCTGCAACCTAATAAGAAAAGACCCTGAGCCAGAATCAACCAGCTAACTAATGCTCAAATTCCTGACCTTCAGAAACTGTGTGAGATAGTAAATGTTTGTTCTCTTTAGCTATAAACTTGTGTGTGTGTGTGGGGGGGGGGTAATTTGTTATGCAGCAATACATAAAACTAAACAGTTTTCAAGAGCCATGGACACAAAGAAAGAAAGTGAAATCCAAAGATCAATCCCTTCTAGAAAAGTAAGAAAAGGTAGACACTTTTGTGTGTGGCCCAGGTGCTGAAGGAAAGGGCAGGTGAAAGAACAACGCTGCTAGAGAGGAACAGAAAAAGGATAGCTAAGTTTTTGACAAACTCATATGCTGGCATTTTAAATTTGAATCTGGAAGAACAGAGGAGACAAATACATAGTGACTTTTAGGAGGAAAACACACACACACATATACATTCATATGTTATTTACATCAGTGCTTGGAGTTTTTATTTTTTTAAAGATTTATTTATTTATTTGTTTGTTTGTTTGTTTATTTATTTATTTATTTATGCAAGCACTGGGTATAGTCAGAAGCATGGGAGGGTGAGAGAATTCATCAGAGCCAGAGCAGGGAGCAGAGCAGGCAGAAGGACCAAAGTACGCTGCTGAGGGGAGCAGCGGGCACGGCAGGAGAGGTCTGCGTGCCATATGGGACACTCGCCAGTGGCCAGGGATCAAACTGGCGCTGCAGAGGCTGCGGGCAGCTTTGCAGCCCAGTGCTCAACCACTGTGCCACCAGGGGAGGCCCAGCCTGGAGTTTTTAGACATAATGTTCAGCACCCAATTAAAAATTTCATTTCTGAGGCAGGCAAAAAGCAAGAGAATGTGATCTATAGTCAAGAGAAAAATCAGTCAATGGAAATAGACTCATGGATGACCCACATGTTAAAATCAACAGAAAAGGACTTAAAATAACTATAATATATAAAGTTATTTTATATAAAGATTCTTTATATAGTAAAAAATCTTTAAGGCTAAATGAATATAATATAATTAATGAAGAGATAAAAAATCTCAGGAGAGCTTTATGAGCTTTAAAATCAAAGAACTAAGTGAAAAATCCTAGAATGAAAAACACAGCTGAAATGGAAAAAATTTCACTGGAAGAGATAAACAGAAAAAAAGAATTATAGACTGAATGTATATCAATAGAAGTTATCAAACTGAGATAAAACAAATGACATCGTGAATAATCTCTGACCTGTGGGACAAGATGAGGAGATCAAACACACCTGCAATTGGAGTCCTAGAAAAAGAGAAGAAAGATTGGGCAAAAAAAATATGAAAAATATCAGTTTAAAATTTTTCCAAAGTTGATTAAAATTAACAACTTGTTGATCTTGGAAGTTCAGAAAAGTCCAATCACGAAAAATAGAAAGAAAACCATAATTAAATATATCATAGTCAAACTACTGTACTAGAAATAGTAAAGGAAAATATTAAAATAGGTGAAGAAAAAAATAGATTGAAACAAAAATGAAGACATAATAAAGACATTTCCAAATAAGCAGAGCTGAGAAAATATGTTGCCAGCAGACACACACTTTAAGAAATGCTAATTTAATCAAAGTAAAAGGAACTGACACCATATGGCAGCTTGGGTATGCAAAAGGAATGAAGAGCACCAGAAATATATAGGATATATATAGTGAGTAAGTATAACAATATTTGTATGCATACATGCACATGTTTAAAACACTGTTACTGTTTAAGACAGAAAAATAATACAAATATACATATTATGTGACAATAAGATATATGGAAATAAAATATATGCCAAAAAAGCATAAAATATGAGAAGATAAATTGGATCATACTTTTTAAAAATTATACATCATTGTTGAAATTGTTTAAATTACTTGAAGATTGACCATGACTAATTAAAGACACATAATATAATTTCTTGCAGCTACTAAAAAGCAATGCAAAAACTAAAGGAGCTAAAAAGGAGGAAAAATACTCAATCTAAAAGCAGGTAAGAAAATAGGAACAAAGATCAGAAAATAGACAAGGTAAGAAAGACCAACCTATATGCTGTCTACAAAAGAGGCACTTTAAGTATGAAAACACAGATAGGTTAAAAGTAAAGGGATACAAAAAATACACACTGTGCAAACACCAATTAAAAGAATGCTGCAGCAGTTATATGAATGTCACAGTAGAAATCAGAAGAGTGTTACCAGAGATAAAGTGGTACTTCTACCAGGATATAGAAGAAACTCCTCTACTTAATAATAAAAAGGAAAACAATACCCCACCAAGCATCAAAACTTAAACAGACACTTAACAATGTCAAATACTTACATTGGCCAATAAGGATAGGAAAAGATACTTAGCTTCAATGTTAGTATATATCAATATAAGGAAACACAAATGAAAGACACAGTAAATTAATATTTCACCTGAATATGATGACTAAAACTAAAAGGACTGAAATATCAAATGTACAAGAACTAGAACCAAAATGTACAAGAACTAGAACACTCATACATTGCTGGTGGCAACATAAAACTATGCAACCACTTTGGAAAACTGCTTGGCAGTTTCTTGCAAAGTTTAAATTTATATCTACTTTATGACCCACAAGTTTCACTCTCTGCTTTTCACCCAGGAGAACTAACAAATGTCCACAAAAGTATTTGTATAAGAATGTTTGTAGCAACTTTACTTTTAACTCAAACTGGAAATGATCCAAATGTCCATCAACGTGGAATGGATAAACAAATCGTGGTACATGCCTATCACTGAATACCATAAAAACTATATAACAATAAAAGGGAATGAGCTACATGTGACCACTTTAATGACTCTCCCAAAATATGTTGCTTGCAAGCAGCTAGATACAATAGACCATTTAATTTCTGGTGGTAGAAACCAGATCAGTGGCTCCCTGGAAAGGGTGAGGACAGATTCAAGTTAGGAAGAGGGAATTTTCTGGGGTTATGGAAGTGATTCATACCTTGATTGTTAGGGTGGTTGCCTATTGTTCTGCCAAACTATAGCTTAGTCAGAAGCTTGATGACCCAAGTGGAAGGGCAGAGGGTGTTCAGAGAGTCTCCAGAGTCTCAAGGATGATGGCTATCAGTTTTTGGAAATGATAACTTGAAAGGGACTGGGATCATGCAGACCATGCAAGGAAATGCTTCACTTGTTTTGGTGTTCTTTGGGATAATTAATGGTCTGGTGCTTTAAAGCATTCTTTCTTGTCTTTCTGAGACTCTTGGGATTCTTCCAACCTCCATAACTGTGGTACACAGAATCGTACGTTATAGGGGTTTAGTGCAGCCAGGTTGGGGCAACCTCGTAAAGCATGTTGGAATGAGGGAAAGGATAATTCCCCCGGAGTCATGTACAAGAACTTCCACAGAAGCAATAGTCTCTTTGATTATTTTTTTCCATAGCTGGTGAAAGGAATTCTATGTTAGAGCTAAGCATGTGGTGAAATGCTATTGAAACTATGTTAAGCCACAGAAAATAACATGGGTTAGATATGTAGGAACACTCTGTCTGGTTCCTAAGCTCTTTGTAACAGCTAGTTTATCATTAGACTGCATGGGGAGTATCTGTGTTTATGGCACATTTGAAATATCTTTGTGTGGCAAATGAAGGGCAGCATGTTAGAAGGAAAAGCAGTTTAAACCAGGGGTAAAAGGAAGAGTTTTTTTGTTTTTTTTTTTCATCAAGCAAAGAATAAATCTTTTTTTAATTGCAAATACATTTGAAATATTTTAAGCTGTTACTTGTGCCTCTTGAATTTTCCTATAGAATCCACTTCTTCACCATGTAAAATGGGTTAGCTCTGTAAGAGGTCTGGACACAGCATAGATTTACTGCTAGTGTATTGAGTTGTTTTAGTCTCTCCAAATCTTCCCACCCTATAAAAGCAACACTCTAAACTTGTTAAGGGATCATTGCCTTGCACTCTAATGAGCTTGGGCTAGTTTTCAATGCAAATCTTTCATTTAATTTAGTGAACTTTCCAGTCTATTTTTTATGAATATGATTAATATGTCCCTTCTTAGATTGACCCTAAGAAAATTAAACAGAGCCCATTTAACTGTTTTGTACACACTACACTTAATTCTGTCCAGAGATGCCCTGAACACATGCTCCAGACCACTATTTAATTGACTTCTTCTGATTGGTCACTTTCACAGCCTGGCCATTTTCTGGTTTTAGTTTCTCCTTACCCTCCTGTGTCCATTCTCTTTGAATATGACAGAGAGACCACTCCAATGAGCAAGCCACAATTCCTCATGGAGATAGAATTCTTGGGAGTTGTTCTAATAAACAGCTAACAATTCTTGAATGCTATGTTCTAGGCGCTAGGCTAAAATTCTACGTGACGATGTCCTTGCGATATACTTAGGAAAAGGTATTGTTAACATTCATCGTTTATAGATCTGGACACTGAAGATCAGAGAGAAGTAACATTGCCTAAATTCACTTGTTATAAGTGTTATTGGTCGGCAGAATGTTTACCATGAGACAGGAGTTGAACTCTGCTAGTCTCTACCTGAAACGCCCTCATAAACACACCCAGAAATGGTATTTAACATTAACTATGTATCCGTCAACTGGACACATAAAATTAACCATCATTAGTGAAACCCTTGTCAATTTATACCAAAATTGTATAAATCTCTGTAAAATATATTAATCTTCAAATAAAGACAATAACAAGATCATAATTCCATCTAACATATTTTAACTATCTTGCCTATAACTGAAAATTTGCTAATCTCTTCCCAAGAAGAGGAAGTAAAATCCTTGAGTAATAGTTACTTTTCTCCTTGATAGCCTATAACCAAAATGGTATGATTTTCTAATTAATGATATGTACATACTATGATAGTCACTACATCTTATGTTGCATGATTGATAAGGGAATCACGTGAGTGTGAGAGAGAGAGAGAGTGTGTGTGTGTGTGTATGTGTGTATGTATGTGTGTGATGTACATGTTTATCTGTTTCCCCACAATTTATATTCTGGGTTAATGAAGCATCTGACGTTAGCATGTTGCTCACTGTTTGCTTCTGAAGTACTTAGGAAGCGATAGGTTATTTCTTTAGACAAACATCAGGGGCCTACCAGAGTAGATTCTGACCAGAGTGCCTTTTTTTTGTGGTGGTTGCTTTTTATGAGCAGTAATGAGGTGAGATGGATTTCATGATTTTCAAGACAACGGAGTGAGCACTTGGACAGGTGTGAATGTGCCCTGGGCTTCCATCTCACTAAGGTCTGATTTGTCCCCCCTGAGTTGTATTCATGGTCTCCTCTCTCAGAGGCAGTTGAGATTAAGAGTAGAATCTCCAAGAAAAATGAAAAGTGAGCTAACAACATTTCAGCTCATTTTATTTGGGGCACATCTTCCTGAGTTTCCCTCTTCTGAGGTATCTCATTAATCTTAGTCATATTTGAGGTTTTATTATTGTTTCTCAGAGTTACAAATAAACCTCATGCCAAATAGCATATCCATTATTCCAAATCTTAGTAATTGTTTCTTTATCTTGAAAGAAAATTTGGGTGCAGGGCCTCCCTGGTGGTGCAGCGGGTTGAGCGCCATGCTGTGGAACTGTCCCCAGCCTCTGCAGCGCTGGTTCGATTCCCGGCCGGCCAGGGAGAAACCCACATGGTGGTACAGACCTCTCCTGCCTCGCCCACTGCTCCCCACAGCAGTGTCTTCAGCCCATCTGCCTGTTCTGTTCCCCGCTCTGTCTCTGGTGAACCCTTTCACCCTCCCGTGCCTCTGACCTGTACCCTAGTTCTTGTGTAAATAAATAAATAAAAATCTTTTTTAAAAAAAAGAAAATTTGGGTGCAATATTTTAATTTCAGTTAAATCTATGTGCTTACTTTCCTGAGGCCCAATTTTTGATATCACTTATCTTTTTCTTGAATAACTTATCCAATTTTCCTCCCAATTTTTGCTATTTTTAATGACACAAAATATAATGAAGTGATTTAATCAAAGTGGTATCAAATTGATTTGCTCTGGACCTTAAAGCTGATGGAGACAGGAAAGCAAAAATATTAGTATTATAGTGAAGATGGAGCTTTTAGGTAGGGGTCTTGAATTTCACCCCAGTGCTAGCATTGCCTCATCCTATGTGTATATGACAGGCATTTCAGCATTCTGTGCCTTAGTTTCCAACCTATAAAATAAGACCTTTCTTTATTCTTAGGGATGTCATAAGACTAATATGATAGTATATTCGAAAAAGCTCTGAGCACTTAGCAGTAAAGACATTATAATCTAAATCCTATTATCTTGTGTTATAAAAGGGACTAGCATAAAGAATAATTTAGGCTCACAGTAATATAAAAATAATTGCATATGCTTATTCAAACTGTCTCTTACTCTTCTTCATATATGCCTTTTCTATTAATGTCTATCCTGGAGTGGGTAGATAGGGTGGAAACACTCAGACTGGGTTGGCATGGAAACTAACCCCTGAGCATGCTGGGAGCACACAGGCAGTCCTCGGACCCAGCTGTGTGGCAGGTGTGACAATACCCCTCCCCCTGAAAAATCACTGTGGAAATAAGAAATGTCTCATTTGACTACAACTAGAGCAATAGAAATATAATTGAGTAATAAATATGCTATTATTATTCCTTCTCCAAAGAAAAAAGCACTAAAATACCTTAGGACAATATTGACTTGAAAACTATCTTGCATAGCACAATATACCTTCTAAAATTTTTCATTTAGAAAGAAAGACTAACAAGTTCCTATTACCAGCAATGATGGATGCTCATCCTATGCCAGTACCCTTCTCCGGAAACACAGAGCAGTGAGTCACAGTCATATTTGTACCATGAGCCACCCTGGCCAGATTAGAACTAAACACCAGATTCCTATGAACAACCAGCTTTTCTCTTCTTGGAGAACTGGAAATTCCTAGGAATTGGATATAATGATTCTCCTTTAAAAATTATTTAACAAATGTTTATTGAGAAGCTTCCTAGGTATAAAATAATAGCATGGAAGAGAGATAGGGTAAATAAACAAGTGTTTGTTACCATGGGGAAAAGATAGATAGCAAAAAGCAGCACATCAAGAACTGAATTCAAATCCTACTACTCCCAAGAGCTTGCTGTGTGGCCTTGCTCAAGCCCTGCACTCTGTGAGACTTCATTTCCTTATATTTGAAACTGTTTTGACAGTCTTCTCCTCCACCATTTTATTGAAATATAATTGGTATACAGTATTGTGTTTTAAGAAATACAAATCACGGATTCAATACATTTTGTATTGCAAAAGAATTACCACCATAGATTAGTTAATACTTCCATCCCATCACATAATTAGTATTTCTGTTTTGTGGTGAGAACATTTAAGATCTACTATCTTAGCAACTTTCCAGTATGCAATACAGTGTTTTTATTTATTTATTTATTTATTTATTTTTAAATAATAAATTTTATTTTTATATTCCCCATATAATTGCAACCCCCCCATTCTGACCCCAATCCCTCCCCTCCTGCCCCCCATCCCCAAAAAAGTGTCTCTGGTTCATAGTTTTTTGTTGATTTTGATTTTCACTTTCTTATAGTTATTCATTTTCCTGGTCCCTCATTTAAGTTTTCTAGATTCCTGCTATGAGTGAGACCATCTGGTATTTTTCTTTTTCTTTCTGGCTTATTTCACTGAGCATGATCCCTTCCAGCGCCATCCATGTTGCTGCAAATTGCATGTGTTTATCTTTTTTGAATGCTGAGTAATATTCCATGGTGTATATATACCACATCTTCTTGATCCAGTCATCTATTTTTGGGCATTTGGGTTGTTTCTAAAGCTTAGCTATTGTAAATAGTGCTGCTATAAACATAGGGGTGCAGGTGTTCTTTGGAATTGATGTTTCACAATACAGTGTTTTTAATTCTAGTCACCATACTGCACATTACACCCCCAGAACTTGTTCATCTAACTGGAAGTTTGTATATTTGACCAATATCTTCCCATGGAATTCAGACTACTTCTTAAATTATTCCATGTTTAGGTAGTATGCCAAAGATTAGTCTGCTTGGTTTTATTGTTAATTGTGTACAAATTTATCTCCCCAACTACTTTTTTTTCCATCTGAAGTCACCCAAGCCCATCAGATTGTGATCTTTGACATACTTATTAAGAGCTGTGAGTGTAATGAACCATCTTGAGGGGCTGATCATTCCTTGGAAAATAGGGGGTTTCTACTCATACAGAAAACTTGGAAGAGTTGTGAAGAAATTGAGTTTAAGAGAGGGTGGTGTTTAGTGATTATATTAGTCAGGGTTTTGGCAGGAGCCGTTGGCACACTTATTGCATAATTTGAGATTTTAATAAAGGGACTATTTTTACAAGGGGCATAGTCTAGAGAAATCACAGGGGTAATGTAATACTCTGTAAGTTGTGGTTGTTGTTACTACTCCCATGCTTCAATGGGGAAGGGCAGGGAGTGGTTCTGAGAACCAGGAGAACAAGAGCAAGGAGAACACTAAAAGAGAGTTCTCTGGAGATCAGACCACCAAATGGGAGCATGAAGCCAGCTTGGGTAACTCCATAGTCAGGGAACTGGAAGAAAAAAATTAATATCTACCCGACCTCACTGTCTCAAGTCTTCTTCCCCTCTCCCCATTAATCTTCTGTTTGTGTAAAACCAAGTGGAAGCCAGAGAACAAGAGAGCCCATCTATGTAATCCATACAATTCTGCCTCCTAGGCAATGGAGTAGAGTGAAGGGCTTGGGGTGCAGCAGGACAGCAGCAGCTCAGTGACCTCCCTACCAACCACTCTAAATCAGTCTTTCATCTCCTGCCTAGACATTTGCCATAATGTAACCTCTCACCACAACTGATCATATGATTCCCCAGTGCCTCTGTTCTGATCTGGACTTAATTTTTCTTCTCTGCCTCAATTGCACCTGAACCCTTTCATTAACTACGTGCAGTTTTTCTTCTTGCCTCTTTTTATTTGTTGGTACTGTATACTCTGCCAAGAATGTGCCTCAAGCACCTGTCTGATTTCTGTTGAGCCTTCACAAACTAAAGTTTGCTTTTCTCTGCAGTTTTCCTATCCTGTCCCAGTAGGGCTGGGCACTTTATTTACTGCCCTGTCAGATCATTCTCTCTGGCTTCCTATGTCCACAAACGCTGCAGAGTAATGTTAACATAGGTCTGTGTCTCTCCCTTTCTGGGGGTTCTTGAGAATTCCTGTGTCTGTTGCATATCATCTGCTATCTTAAGCACTTACACTATGCCTTGCATGGATTTGATGCCCATTAATTGCTTGATAAATGCACAGTGTTTCTGTTTCAACTCCATTTCCCATTCTCCTTCCACATTTCCATACACCCTCCAGATTAACCATTCAAAATGCAACCTCACTGTAGCCCATTCCTAGACCTCCTCAGTGACTTTCCTCTGAGCACAGAATGATGTGCCAGCTCTCCAACCTGTCTACATTTCAGTGCCATTTCCTACCACTCCTTCCTGGCTCCCTTCGGCATCCTGCATCCTCTTCCCCATTCCAAGTTCTCCAGAACTGAGAGAGCTCCCTAGCATGCTATACTTTCCCATATTTTGTCACATTTGCATCTGTTCCTCCTTCTGCCTGGAATGCCTTCTCTACTTTTTAACTGGCTTAACCCTTGCCTCCCTGCCCCACCCCCAGATCTCCAGTATAGTTGGAAAATTCTCGTTCTTTGAAGACTTACCTGGCATGGCATTTCCTCGGTGAAAGTCCCCCCTTGCAATGTATTAAAGTAAGGTGCTTCCTTATCTCTATGAAATTCCTGACATGTTGCATGGAAATGATGTGTTGGCTTATGTGTCAATGTTTTCATTCTTATTTCCAGAGTTGAACACAAAGTCTGACACGGTCCATGTGATTAATAATTGTCTCTTGAATTAATATAAGAACAAATGAATGCATCAATCAAACCCAAGCCCTGCACCCCCTCCCTTCCTCTCCCCAGTCATGCAGAGAATGACTGTACAGCTCCCTTCTTCTCTGGTGATTTCTATATAATATATGAAGTTCTGCTTGTCTGTGGTACACAGGGCCAACCAGATCATGTGGGACATGAAACTTAAGAGCAATATCCTTAAAGCAAAGGGTGTGTCCTTCACTCCTTTCTCCTGGCTCAGTTATGAATACGTGGGCTGCAGCCATCTTGGAGCAAGAGCTAAAGTCGTATGCTGAGAATGGTAGAATGACAAACTGGAGGGTCTCTGATGACTATGGAGCTGCTGTAACAGCCATTGATGATCTATGTAGACATGCAAATGAGAGAAAAATCAAATTCTATGTTGGTGAAGCCATTGGTTATATTGGGGTTTCTGCTATTTGCAGCCAAACCCAGTTTTAATTATTATATCACTAAATCACTTCTACAGTTTGAATCAGAGCCAAATGTCATGGAAAATTTGGTAATTTCTGTATTTGCTTTAGTTTTTTTTGTGATGTTTCAAATGAACTTTCTAGGAGGCATGTTAAAGGGCAAAATTTAGATAAGCAAGGACATATCTCTCTTTGCAAACAGACTTATGCCTTATTCAATTTCAGAATTCCATCTTATTCTGACAGTTGACATTCAATTCACAATGTCTACATGTCAGCCTCACAGGAAACCTCAACAGTGTTAGGTCTCTGCTACTCAACAGCGTTTAATTCCTCCTCCATTGTCAGAGCAGAGACTTATTTGCATTTGCCTATTTATTTCAGTGATATTTGCTATTCCTTTAAATCATAACTCCTTCTCCAGCTCTGTAGATCTGGCCCTGAGAATGTGTGCCACCAGTGCAGTAGCCTCTCATTCTTGCTATTCAAAATCATTTTACTTATTTTTTTTTTTGTCTTGGTTCATTTCTCGTTAGCTGGAGGATGGGCAGTAGTTTAAAAAAAAAAAAAGAATCATTATATACCCTGTCTAGTAAAGTTCAGATTGCTGTATGAATTGGGATTTTTGTATTAGAAAAGCTGAGGAGATTTTTGATTAAATGGATTTTTCGGGGAGTTTTCCATGAGGAGTCAGCAGCCTATGGTTATGTTCTGCACCTATTAAAAGATGGAATTGTAGAACTGATGTGTATGTAATCTCTTTTCAGGTTTCCATGGCAACAGTGGCAGTAATTCAGTGAGTAGCTTTTCTATTCTTCCTTTAAGACCTTCAGACTAAAATTGTTTTTTTTTTCCTAAAAAATAAAAAGCCTGTTCTTTAAAAAAATAAGACATATACATTTAGATTCATTCTAATGAGATTTATGAGAGGAGGAATATCCCCAAGTCATGGGTCCAACAAATTAGTGATTCTGTTACTGACTAGCTGTGTGACCTTGGGCAAGTCAATTATCCTCTCTCAAACTTGCTTTTCTTCTCTATAAAATATGAACAAAAGTACATCTTCACTAAAGGGCTATTGAAAGGACTAAATAAAAAGATGTACACAGGGCCTCCCCTGGTGGTGCAGTGGTTGAACGCTGGGCAGCGAGGCTGCCCGCAGCCTCTGCAGCGCCAGTTCGTTCCCAGGCGAGGGTCCCACCAAAAAAAAAAAAAAAGATGTACACAAATTGTTTAGCCCACGGCTTACAGTAAACGATTGGTCATTATTCTGAATGAACATTTTAGCCCGCTGGGATGTGATGTTAGGTTGTAAGCCTTCAATACGAACATAACTGACAAGTTCTTTTTAATACCAGCAGGATCTGTAGAGACGGCTCATCTTTCATTTCTGATAGTAGCAATTTAATTTCCTCAATTTTTCTTTACTGGGGATTTATCTGTATCTTTATACTAAAAATGAATCATTTATTAGCAGCATATATTTAGGTTTTGTTTTTATCCAATAAGATAAACTCTGTTAAATTGAAGTATTTAGTCTATTTCCATTTACTATAAGTATTGATATGGTTGTGTATAAATCCAAGTTATTATTTAATATTCTGTTCTATGCTAAAGTTTTAACTACAACGTTTTGTATTATTTATTTAATGGTTGCCTTAGAGATACACTATTATAGTATAATACAATATTCTTATGCTATTTACTTTCCCTTTCACACTTGTGCTATTTATTTTGTACAGTTAACTTTGCTTTATCCAGTCAATTATCTTTTAATGAATTTAATTAAAAATAGCCTTTAAACTTAGCCACATCTTTACTATCTTTGGTATATTTTTTTCCTCCCTGTAAATCTAATACCATTTTCTTTTACTGTGAATAAGTTCTTTTAAAATTTCTATTAGTGAGGGTCTGCTAGCAACATATTTTCTGTTTTCATTTATCTGGAAGTGCCTTTATTCTGTTTTCATTTCTGAAGAATATTTTCATTGAACATATAATTCTAGTTCAACACGTCTTTAAGCATTCAAGTTTAGCTCTATGTGCTTATGTTGTTTGTAATAAACCAGTAGTCATTCTTAATTTTGTTCCTCTCTTATTTCCCCACTCTGTCTGTTTTTACCTTTGGGTCTCAGCAGTGTAATTATGATGTACCTTGTTTTGGTTTTCTTTGTATTTATCTGCTTGGGATTCATTGGGTCTGTTGATTGATGCTTTTAATTAAATTTGGAATATTTTTGACCAATATTCAAGTATTTTAATTTACCTCATTTACTCTTTCTGTCCTTCCAAAGCTCTAAGAAAATCTGTGTTAAAAGATTTGATACTAGTGAGATTTTGTTCATTTCTGAAAATTTTATTCTTTGTGCTTTAATAGGTTAGGATAAAGTCTATTGACTTTCCCGTTAATTTTCTGATCCGTTATTGGTGATGATCTAAAATATTTTATTTCCATCAGAACTAGAAAATGTTCTATCTTGTCTCTTTGTTGTCAATTCCATCCTTCCAACCCCAGTTTCTGATAACTGTTGATCTATTTAAGTACTATAGATTTATCTTTATTTTTTGAGAAAAATATCATATAAATGGAATTATGCATATAATTGATTACTTCTTATGTTAAAAATTCCATAATACATTGTAATTATTTTTGCTTTCAATAGCCAATTATACTTTAAAGGGAAAAGGCTTTTGTATTGGCTTGCTTACATATTTACCAACTACAGTTTTCACTCTTTCGTATAGATACAAATTTCCATCTGGCATCATTTTTATTCTCCCTGAAGAAATACTTTTAATATTTCTTATAGCATAGATCTGTTGGTGATAAACTCTCTTCAGCTTTGTCTAATGATGTCTTTATCTCACCTTCAATACTGAAAGATATTTTTGCTGAATAATTTTAAGTTGACATTTCTTTTCCTCTCCTCTCCCCACACGCTCCCCTCATTACTAAAAAGATCTGTCTCTATTGTCTTCAGGTTTCTAATGCTGCTGCTCTCATATTTACCTCTGTCCTTCTGGATATATGTCCTTCTTGGGGATTCTATTAAGAGTTTTTGTTTTAATAGCTGGTTTTCAAACAACTCAATTAAGATGTGCCTTGGCTTGAATTCCTTTGCGTTTATCTTATTTGGGTTCTGTTGACTTTCTTGGGTTTATAGTTCTCATATTTCAAGCATGTTGGCAATAATTCCTTCTAAAATTTTTTCTTTCTGATCTCTTTTCTCTCTGATCTCTCTTTCTGGTCTTACAAGCATGTTAGACCCACAAGTCTTGTCCCACACGTCATGAAAACTCTATTTTTTCATTTTCCCTCTTTGTACTTAATTTTGGATATTTTCTACTTTGTCTTCAGGGTTTTTGATCTTTTCTTCTGCAATAATTAATTCGCTGTTAATCCCATCATACTTTCCTCTATCTTCTAAAACATGGAACATATGTAAAATAGCTGCTTGTGTGTCCTTGTTTGATAGTTTCGTATGAGTGTCATTTCTAGATCTGATTTTATAGACTGATTTTTTTGACTTGGCATCATATTTTCAGCTTGTTTGCATGCCTGCTAATTTTGAATTGGATGCTACACATTGTAAGCTTTCAGGTTTTGGTTACTAGATTGGTTAGTTTCCTTTAAATAGTGTTGGATTTCATCTGGTTTATATTTGAGTTACTTAAAATCAGTTGGCTCTTTTCAAACCTTGCTGTTGACATTTTTAGCATTGGTTCAGAATGCCTTTAGTCTAGGGCTAATTTAACTCTGCTACTAAGGCTTCTGAATATTCTACATTCCTAGTGTCTTGTAGTCTTTCCATGCTGGTTGATGAAAACAAGAACTATCCTGTCTTGTGCAAGCTCTAAAAATTGTTCTGCCTATTTCTACCTACTAGTTTCTTCCCTAACCTCATTTAGGATCCTCTCAGAGCTAAATATATCAATATTCAATGAAAGTCTCAAGTGGACCCTTCAGCAGATTTCAGAAACTTTTTCCGTCTGTGTTGATCGCTCTTCTCTCCTACTCTAACCCAGAAATTCTAGTCACTTTGGCCTCCTGAGATTCCAACCTCTGACTCCCCAACTTAGTAGGATTATTGGATTCTATCTCCTTGTAACACAATCTAGAAGCTGATTCCAGGTTGTTAGTTGATATAATAATAGGGTTCACTTTGGTTATATCCTTTGCCTGGGGATGATAATCATGTGTTACTTTTTTTCTATTTCTGAAAATCATCATTTCATGTGTTTTGCTCAGTTGTCAGTAGTTTCTGACAGAGAGGTAAACCATGTCCCTACTATTTACTTATGGCTAGAGGCACTGTCATTGTCAGCTTTTTATTTTTAATTTGAGCCATTCCGTTGCATATATACTAATATTTCACTGTTTTTTTATTTTGCATTTCTCCAATGAGTGATGATATTGGGTATCTTATGTTTGTTTGTTATTCTTATCTTTGCTGAGTGTGTGTTCAAATATTTTGCCTGCTTTTAAAAAATCTTGTTTTAAAATTTCTTTATATGTGCTAAACAAAGGTCTTTTTATCAGGTATATATTTTATAGGTATTTTGTCTCCCAGTCTTTGGCATGCTTTTCAATTTATTAGTATTTTTCAAAAAGAAAATATTTTAAATTTGATTTTAATATATGAATTTTTCTTTTTTTGGTTTCTTTTTTTTTTGTCCTATCTAAGAACTCTTTGCTTAAATTAAAGTAAAAAATTTATCTCCTATATTTTTTCTACATATTTTATAGATTTAGTTGTTACATAGATATATATAGTTAATTTTTTATATCATATGAAGTAAACAACAAGGTTTATTTCTCTATTAGGGACATCATTTGTTTCAGTCATTTGTTAAAAAAGAAACTATCCTACCCTATTGAATTATTTTCGCCCCTTATCAAAAGTCACATTTTCCTCTGCATTTCTCATAGATGCTTGCCTCTCCTTTTCCCAACCCTCTCCTCTCTCATCATCCATTCATCCACTTACCATCCATCTGCTTACCTAGCCCCTATTTTCTTAGTCCAGAAAAACTTTTAAGTCTTCATATCACAAATCAGCTTTAATAGACAGAAAGCCCTTAACTATATTATGTTTCCATAACCAATAAATGGAACATAACTTATGACTTCTAATGTATAGCATGTGTTTTTAAAAATCTAGAGAATTTTTCTGGAATGACTGCTTAAGCTACAAAGTAAGTTTCCCCAACAGGATTCATCAAGCAGCTTTTTAAAAAAAATGAAAATATCGGTCCGTGACTTGAAAGGAAAATGAAAGTTGAAACTATTTTTTATTTAATGCAAAATAAAGTCAATTGAATTTAGAGTTATGGAGTCATCTGCAATGGGAAAGTCCATATGAAATCCATAAAGTTATAGAATTACATTTTGAAAATGTATTCCTTCAGAAACAGCTTGAAAAATTGCTGTAAAAATCCTTTTGACAATTTGAAGAGCTATTATTAGAAAAAATATTCCTATATTTCACTAGTACTTGGTTTTCAATGGAGCTTTACTGCCCTTAAGTACAGTATTAGGCAGTATCAACTTTAGATATCAAAAGAGGTAGGAGGAAAGAAGCCATCTGGAGTTTGTTTTTGTTAAAGGCATGATCTCTAGCTGTACTTTTGTTAAATTTTTATTGCTCATGCAATGGCTTTCTGCTCGTAAATAATTATATTAGAATGTTGTACATAGTCTTTTATATGCAGATGGATATTTTTTGTGTGAAAAATACTTTGTTACCCATTGTATTACTGGATCCTTATAACATTCATTCATTCATTAAACTAATA